GTGGTTGTCAGGGTCGGCAATTTGGGACCCACAGGCTTACACATAGTTGCAAGGACGATAGGCAGGAAGGCCCTCTGGAGGAAACCTTCCAATGATGACTAAGGGTTACTTGGAGATATTCCTAACGTATGACCTACCTAAGAACTGCTCTCAGTAGCCTGTTTGGAGAAGAAGAGATATTGACCTAAGGACACTTCTTGGGAAGGGTCCTAAGAAGGGGAAAAACCTAAAAGGAGATATATGAAAGAGCAGCCCAAACGGGATCCAAGGGAACAGACATTGGTGCCCAATGTTCCGGAAGCTGACTCAGGTAACCCACTGCTGTGTGACCCCGATTCTGGACCCACATGGGTCCACCTAGATTGATAATGCAGGAGTATAGGAAGAGAGTATATGGAGACACTGCCACAAAGTGTGTACTATTTTCTTTATTCTCCTATAGTCTCTTTTCCTTTCACTACAATACATGATATCATTCCTGCTTCACCTCTTGATTCTACCTTCATTCCACTGTATTCCATTACTTTCCATTACGTTCTATTAGTTTCCACATGACCAGGTCATGACATCATAGGTCACATGCCAGGTAGTATATATAGGACGACTTGTCACCTAGTCCCCATCTTGACCTCTTTGTCTTGGGACTAGGTGCGTATTTGTACTTTGTAGAATACTGGATAGTATTGATCATCTTTGTCTTGGGACTAGTTATTGACTGTCGAGCCTCAGCTCCAGTCTCTGTGTGTTCGCTACCAGCACTTCACCACAGACACCCTGTCAACTGCTATCTAGATTACCCTTCTGAGGGTAGTATAGGAGAACCTAATATAGGCTCAGGAGGCAGTTGGAGAAGGAAAGTGTATTGAGGAACAATGAACCCTGAAGAGATCCACATGTCATCATGAGGACCCTGATCAGATGCGAAACAACAGGACAACCATGGGTCCACATGGGCACATATGTGCTTAGTGAATACCCGGTTATCCCACCTGCTTATATACCTTGGAAGGATATTTGCGACCTACACAAAATGTCCTCTCCAGGTGAAATAGCAAAGATTAATGTCAAAACTCTCTCAATAATATACTTATAAGGCAATATGCAAGATAAACTATGTAGATAACTAGGATAAAAGGACAAATCTGAGTTTGTATTAAATTATGTAGTTAAGGGTATATAAGTCTGCAGGTTTCCTGAAGGATCCTCAGGCAATCACTGGGGAATCGTCCTAACACTAGAGCGAAAGGCAAACCCTCAGGAAGCATAAGTCGCACTGTGAAAGTTGTTGACTATCTTCAGGATTAGCTTCTAGAGAGAGACAAATAGAACTTAACTAGCACTTAGAGTTGTTGGTTTTAGACTAGAAATCGAATCTCACTGTTTACTGAACTGTTTACTGTCTGATCTGAACTGTTGGCTCACTGGAGTCTTTGTCTGTCTGCTGCTGAACTGTCTGTTTACACTGCTGAGTTAACCTAAGAAGGATATGAGTTCACTGGAATGAGTTGCCTTCTGAAGTTGCTTTCTGATCTGAAAACCATCATAATCCACTGCTACTAAGCTCCCAAACTACTTTCTCTTTCTTTTACCTTTGTCCATCTTGGGCTTGGAAGCTTCTGACAAGCATTCCTGAGCTGAATTTAAGTTGAAGTCCATTTGCACTTTGACTCCACATCCTCCTCCTCTTTGGCTAAGTACAGAACCTTCGATCAATGTCGAACCAGTCCTTGTAAAACTTGCCTTAGGAGTGTTGTTTGGAGACTACAACCTTAGTTGTAGTACCTTCATTAATACCCTTCCTGGCACATTTCACCAGTAAAACGTCTAAGATGGGGGTAAGGGTGAAGTGTGTGATATATAAGTCCTATCGCTGTAAAGTACTACAGCAAGAATCCTAAAACTATAAAACACCAAACAAAATCACTCTTGAGGTCTAGCATATGTTTATGCAAGAGCTGGTTGTACGTTGATCGAAAGTTCCACCAGTAGCTAGCTCAAGAACAAAATATCAAGTGTGGAACTGGGCCTTGGATGACTTTCAGATCCTATACTATGCTCTGAAGGGGTTCAGAAGCAGAGGGAAACACTATCAATAGGTAGGTATGTGGTGGGATGTAAGTAGCAGCAACCAGAGACATGCCAATCGCAACTCAGGTACTTCAGACTCACAAAAAACAGCTTCAGAAGGTCGACAGGCCCAGCAGCTAAGTCAAACACGACTTCAGAAGTTCAACAGAACAGACAGAACAGACAGACAGACAGACAGTGAGCTTGGTCCCCAATGAACTTCCACTCCAGACAGACAGACAGTTGCTTTGTCCCAGTGGACTTAGCAAATCAGTGCAGACTGTCAGACAGTTCAGTTAAACAGTCAGGTGTAGTCAAATCTATCAAGTCGGTTAAGACTGGTCTTGTTCTATTCTCGTGTCTCTCTCTATAGAAGTTCCCTGCTTACTACTGCCCTTGTGGTACAGCAGCAAGACTGGGTGGGTAACTTGGAGCTTTCCTGATGAAAACCCCAGCCCTTATATACTTTCTACCTAAGTATTATGTTAGTGAAGTGGTATTCATAAGTCAGGAACTTCATTGAAATAAAATAAGTGATGCACACTCCTGTGTTACCACACCTCAAAGACATATGAGTACAGCCCTATCATATAGAAAACTATCCAGATCTGAGTGTGTACAAAGGGAGAAAAAAAGCTGATAGCTTCAGTTTACAGCCTCACGTTATCTTTGGTACAGGGCATTGCACATTCAACAGATTCTGAAGAATGGGTTGACCTGTTTGATGTCTTAGTTCACTCAGTATTTTTTGTGTAAGACAGCACTGAGTAAACAGTAGAGGCACCCTGAATCTGTTATTAGCATTCATCCCATGCAGGGGAGGCCATTTCACAAGGGAAGGATTATATTCAATTAGGTATACATTTTTTGTCATGTCAAAAAATATTTCAGAAGAATGGTTCAAGAGTTGTTTTCTCTATAACTCAGTTTATGTGAGAATAATCATATTCTGAGCTCTTGATACTTCCCTTGAATTCCACTTGCTCTGGACACATTGGTGAGCATGCTTGGGCCAATTACAAAGACTGTTGCAACTCTTATTCATCCTTGTGGTGAAGCGCCAGTAGCAAACACACAGAGATTGGAGCAGAGGCTCGACAGTCAACAACTAGTCCCAAGACAAAGACAATCGATATAAGCCCGGTATTCTACAGAGTACAAATACGCACCTAGTCCCAAGACAAAGAGGTCAAGATGGGGGACTAGGTGACGAGTCATCCTATGTATACTACTCAGCATGTGACCTATGATGTCGTGACCTGGTGTCATGCGGAAACTGATAGAACGTAGCGGAAACCAACAGAACATAGTAGAATAAAGATAAAAGGTAAGGTCAAAAGGTGAAACAAGAATGATGTATCGTAGTAAAGGGAAAAGAGACTGTAAGGAGGTAAAAGTAAAATAGTACGCACTTCATGACAATCCTCACTGTGAGCCAACTTTTGAGCTGGATATTTTTGGTCAAGTGCATTTGGAAAATGAGGGAGGTTGTAATGATCTGGTTTGAATATCTTTTTTTCTGTGAAAGGGTGATGTTGTTGATGTAGTGTTAGCTTCCTGGAATGGTCTGTCTGGCACTTTTCTCAGTTTTAGATGCTGAGGAGTGCTTGGAAGATTTGCTAGAACAAGATTGCTGGTGCATTACCAAAAGGTGAGGTTTGAAAGTCTTGTGTAAAGATACTGTGGTTGGGTATGTTTTCTTTGGCTGATGGATGTCTTTAATGCTGATTATCCATGAACTATTAGAGAGGTAGCTTGCTGCTGGATCATCACAGTTCAAGTTTACAATAACAGATAGCTCTGTAGTGGGTTAGGATTTTGTTTCTGCCATATGAAATTGATGTGTCTGGAATTTGTCTGCAGTTGCTTGACAAGAATCTCATGTGGGTTGGGAGTGGTTTGAGGGGTAGGAGGCCCCTGCTGATCATATTTAGGGTCCATAGAGTGTCGTTGGACTGGGAAGAGAAGAGGATGAGCTTAAGTTTGTAGTTGTGTGTTGTGTCTTGCATCAGGTCTTACTGCCCACAGCAATTGGTGGTGAAGTTGTTCATTTTACCACATCAGGAAAAAGTCCCATAGATTATAATAGAATATAATAGACAATAATCAGCCATAATTATTACCTTGATTATAATTGGCATAAGTATTATTAAAATTATAGTGACTTACAGCTTTATATTTGCAGTTTTAAAAAAGTCTGTCTATCTACTAGTCAGTAGTTTGAACCAGTTGCTTACTAATCTAACTATCAGTATCTAATTTCATTGATTCAAGTTTCGCAACCAGAGAGAATTGAACTCTAGACCTCAGTAAAATTGCTTTGAGCAAGGACTTTACCAACTGAGCTATAAGGCCATTACTATTTGGGGTTAACTAGCCTTACTGATAGCCTCAGTTTTTGGACTTCCTATTACATGAGAGTACTTTGTGGGCTTCTGCCCATATGTACCCTTGCTCCACCATTGTTCTTCAAAGATTTTTTCCCCCCTCTGAATTACCCTGATTATAATACATGGTAATACTTATGGTTACTTATAAACATAGATAAGAATTATTAGAGATTATAATTGATGGTAATAATTATTATTGATTATAACTACCATAATTAGCTATAATCTATGGGTTGTTTTCCTGATGCAGATGAGGATGATGTTCTGCATTTTGAATAGAACAATATTGATTATTGTGGTTAAATTGTGTGTGGGATAGTAGCAGGCTGTGCCGCTCGCCGGCGTCTTGTAAATTACTGGTAAAAAAGGGTTTTGGTAAAAGACTTTTCTTTTTGACGCAACCCTAGCACGTGGTGAATCACATGTGACCCCGGTAAGAATTTCCATCACGTGCCGAACGTCACGCGTGAGTGGTCAATCCGTGACATCCACGGCCGGGACCTACGCGTCCAGCAAGACGTGATCAGAAGGATTTTGAGTACAATGACGGGAGGTGGAAAGATGCGTATACGTGAAACAATTGTAATTCATTTTCATCCGAAGGGATTAATAAAAATTATTTAAGCTAGCGTTCGTCTACAAGTCATCTATTATCGAGTAACAGTTGAGTTTGAGGAGCTTTGAGTGGTGTTGGTGTTAATTATTCCCGTCCAGTCGATGTCCTATTCATATGGTGAGTACTGCGCACGCCAGTATGGGGAAGGAGAAACTAACCATCTTGTAGAATGCGACCGGCTTCACAGGGTTATTGCCTGCCGGATTAATATGGAACATGAAGAAGTTGTCCTGCCACTGCTGACGCGTCGGGGAGTTTGTGTCAATGCGGCTATTAATAGAAATGTCAGCCGGACGTTATTTATCCTTGTTGAAGGAACCTACGCATAGGTAAACAAGCCATCAGCGATGGTACCGCAGCCGAAGAGTTGAATGTGGGCGTAGGTATTATCATCTGCCCACTTGAATACAAAGTGGACATCACTGTGAATGAACTGGTTGTCGAAGGTTACACCGAACTGTCCACCAATGTGTTCCCAGCTCGCAACCACATCACCGGTGTCGGGATCGGTGAGGTTACCACTGTGAGAGGGGTGAGATATTAAATCGAAGTTCGTGAAATTTGAAGTGTAATCGAACTTGCTCACCCCTTGAATTCTACGAGGAAGCGCTTTCCTGTGTGTCCCTGGATTGTTCCACGACTCTGATCAAGCTGAAGAGTTCCTTCAAGGATCTTGGAGAAGGTAGGGGGATCGAGGGAAGTGCAGAAAGCCCCGAGAGCCAGAGAAGCGGTGGCGAGAAGAGAGGTAAACTTCATTGTTGGGGGTAACTTAGGTAGATGAGCTTGTTCAAGAGCTTTCTGTCGAGGGTGTACTCGAAGACCTAAGGTCTGTCCTCGCAAAAGCACTCCCTTTATACCTTAGCGAGCGACTCGCCCAGAGTAACGTCTGACTTCTACGGGCTACGTGCTCCACCTTCCAAAAGCGGTTCATATACCCTTGAACTGTCAATTACAGCTGCCGCCGACATCAATTTCACTTTATTTTAGCAGATGCGGGGGGCGCAACGGACCAGCGGGTGGGTTGCCTAACAAATTTGTGGAAGAACGTTGAACTTCCGCCCTGTTCGTCCAAATTAACCGTTTGCCTTACCCGGATCTACATGAGGAGCGATACAGCCTACAGATGCCAACTATCCAAAATCAGGCACCTTCCCGACGGGCGTTAGCGCCACTGGGCGAATTTCCCATCTTCGAGTGGGGTAAAACTTCGAATCCTTTTGCAAGTTAACCATAATCCAGCTCAACCCAGTCTATTTATTTGTAGTTCTTGTGAGCTTTCATTGATCCAAGCGCACCTTAGAGCCCTTTCCATAGACATACTCTTAATAGGTTCACTCATATCGACAAAACCTGCCCTTTCGATTTGTCTTTTTGACGGATCATTAGCCCGCGGATTAGCGGACAACAGGAACTATCCTGCATGTCATTGATCCATGATGCGACCCGTCGGTGAGTAATGACAAAAAGCGACGGTGGCTTGACATGGAAACGTTGAAGTCAAAAAGTTACTCACGAACCTGTGCCACACTCACGATTGCCGTACGGCATAGTAGGACCCGGATAACTGGTCTTTTAATTCCGAGCCCTTTGCACACGACGCAACGACATGGTTAGTACTCATTTCAAAAGCCTACAGATATTCGAAGAATGACACACAAAAGGAAAACGACCTAACGGACCAACTGAATGTCCTTGGGCATACGGTAGGGTAATGTAATATGTAGCCTCATACCGAATTTTATACTCACTCCTGGCCTTAAGACTGGATGCAGCAAAACAGCGATGGGATGCGGTATCCAAGAGATCCAAGCAATGCAATGCAATTGGGAGGGAGGAGGATCCGAGGATGCAGCCAAAATGAGATGATCATGCATACCTCGTACAGGTCGAGAATTATCCATGGCTTTGGAAGCGGAGTATTGAGTAATTATGACTAACAGACCCGACCTTCAATGTCCAGAATGTGTTGAAAATACAAGAAGTCGTAAACATCCTCACTCCAATATCAGTCTGGAGGCTGAGCCCTGAGGACAGACGGAAAAGGAATTCGTACCTGCCTGCATTGACTGTGTGACTTTACGCAGATTCTGCCAGTTATTATAAGGGGCACAGGCAAGCAGACTCTGGTTGCCTCACTCTGCAAATCACCACTTGGGTGTTCACTGAAAATCCAAAAGCTATACCAGAAGTTGTGTTCATGTGTAGGTTCTGAAGACTTTGTTGCATGGCTGTTGGCTGTAGGAAGTGGACAGAATTTGCCAGATAATGGTAGTATATGTAACTTTAGCGGTGTACATGCATCTTAATGAAAAGGCAGTTGCTGCAATGGCAGAATTTCTGTACCCAAGACTGAACATTGGCAACAAATTTTTATGAGAGAGACTGATTTTCAGTGATCCGGATAGTGATCGGTTTCAGTTCCATACCGGGAAATGGGCAGATACTTACTAGAAGATGAGAAATAAATTACATCCCTCTAATAGCTAGAATGAATTCTTTTTTTGATACTATTAAGCATAATCAACGTTTCATTCCCCTTATCGTTACTGGACAGTGTTTGACTCAGATGAAATTGACGAGGTGTCCAGCGGCTCACATTTTAAGGTTGCTCGGTGCGCCCAACTTCCGAGCTTAAGCCCACCTGCGATCATAATCACTGGCAAGCATCTTACCTTATTATTCACAAATTACCCTCATCTTCATCATCTCCTCTTTCTTGGAACGCGGTCCTCTCGCTTTTGCATACCGAATGTAGATATGTTTGCCAATAGGTGATTAATCGAATTGGCTGAATTTTCAAATGAAGTTTTTCCAATTGGTATGACAATTCAGACAGACCGAAAAACTCATTTATCGACTAAATATATACAGTACCGAAAAGAGCCGGCGAGTCAGTGCGCCTGAAAGCAACGAACGTTTGATTACAATGCCGGGTTTCGGCACAGGTTTCAAGGACACAGATTCCTACCAAATCAGTCATTTTTCAACCCTGCTAATAGCTGCTGTTTCGGTTTCCATTTCTGTCTGTGTGGAAAGTGGAAGTACCGGTAGAAGACGAGGTAGAGACATCTTCTGTTTGGAATATAACGAGCTTGTGGGCGGTACTAGGAGCGACCGGAGGTCCTGCTATTCCTCAAAACAATCAAAGAACATGAGTTACGACATACAGTGCAAGAAGCTCGAAATATGTTTTCCCAGTGTGCTAGTACCACATCGTCTCGGCTGCAAACAGGGGTGTCCTCAGCTCTTCAATCATACATGGACCCCTCTTCCTGAATTCACCTCAACTCATTTTCATCTCCCTTGACTCGCTATCACATATGCAACAAACACCAAATCTTATGCAGTTCTTCGTCCCTAGCTCGGTGTTTTATTAATCTGGGCTGAAATGCAACGGTTCGAAAAGCACCGACTAGGAATCCTCCTCCAACTAAAAAGCACGCCATCGGTTGCAAAAGGCTCGATAACGCCAGCGATTTCTGAAGAGCTCTAAATGATCCGCGGCAATTTTAAGGAGATGTCAGGTGACTCCGAAGAGCGGTTAAGTTTTTTGAAGTATGGCATTGGGTAGGTACGCTGCGCTTCTGTTCGAAAATCTTTCTCCGTCATGCTGGCTTTCTACAACGTTGAGTAGACCTTTGACTTGTGTGTTGCGGGGTCGTGCTTGTTTTAACTGACCTCCAAACTAAGCGATCAGAGCAATGCCTCGTGAGTCATCTTTGAGTGAAATAAAAGTCCTATGTAACTCATGTCAGCTGAGGCAATCATACGGGATATGCTACCCGAGTCCGCTCCGTCCTATACGTTTGCGTTCTAGTATAAATTTACTCATTCCTCGGTCTTTCGTATTACATACTGCGATTCGGATAGAGTAATAAAAAACATGATATACTGTTCTAAGCATCTATGGGTATATGACCGATATGATAACAGCTCATAGGGCTCATATACTCCACCTCGTTGTATGAAAATCAACGCTAGCATGCTCTAGGTTCAGGTCTTCCGTGATCGCTATCGACTGCTGGTCAGAAACCGTGAATACCATCCGTGTGGGAGGACAAGCCACCCGACTAGGGAGGAAGAAACTCCCTCTCTGCGTGGCCGGATGCTCTTCAATATCCCGAGAGTTTATTATAGCTCCCGAGGACACCCTGAGACTTTGATCATGAACGACGAATTTGATGCGGAGAGTGATCAATGTGAATGTTATTCCCTAAGAAAAATACAAAGGATCGCATATTAGTCGCCTGTTCTTGGGCTTATGTCGGAGGGGGACATTGAAGTTTGAACCAGCATTTGGGATTGCAAGAGAGAGGAGGAAACGCACCACAATTGGAACAACGAGACC